ATTTGTCAAAATTGATCGATTGGTTTTTTTAATTTTAAATTCAAAAAGTGAAAAACCAAATGAGACACCCTGTACATATATATATATATATATATATATATATACACACATGGAAAAAAGTTAGGGATATTAATAAATTATAAACTTATGCTAGATTTTTCTTCGAGCAAAGAACCCACCAATATTGTACATCACTTATAATTCAATACACTATATATATATATATATATATTTCATTTTTTTAGTGTATTGAATTATACAGTGATGTACAATATTGGTGGTTTCTTTGCTCGAAGAAAAATCTAGCATAAGTTTATAATTTATTAATATCCCTAACTTTTTTCCATGTGTGTATTATTAAGTATTTAGCGAAAATATAGAAGAGTATATTGGCGTACTTTTTTTGCTGATTCCAAAAATCTGGTCAGATTTTTTTTATCTTAAAAAATAAGATATACACTTTTTTATATATATATGTATATATATATATATATATCCGTAATACAATATTGCGTCATTACATTTCGCGACCTTATTGCGTCTCCTAGAAATACGGTATTTAGCGAGTCAACTTTAATAAGATATAAATGAATTTTTAACATGTGATTTTTCTTCTATCTAATTTTTAATATTGATATTTTGCATGTTTATAAAATAATGTCTGTATTAGGAATGTGAGGTTTAAAAAGTTTTAATTTATTTTATATTAAATTTTAAATATCCCTATTATTTTTTAACCTTCAAGGTTTTAGTTTCTATTTTTTTCTTGCTATACAATTTAACATGAATATTAAAGTAATTCTTTTTGAAGGGTCTGTTTTTTAAGGCTCGTATTCTTAATGAAAAATAGCATACTTACTTTACTAAGAGAAATAGTAAAGAAAAGTATACGTTTTCTGGTTGGCAAAACTGTTTTACCCAGCAACACTTTTATTAAGCACATTTTAAAAATCGTAACGAAAAGTATTATATTAATGAATGCTTTTTCATGACACTAACAGCATAAATTCGACTTTCGCTTAACATAAGTTCTTTAATAATTAATATTATTAAGCCAATTATTGTCTTTAGTTTGGTATATTTTTGTTTATGAATTAACTTAAATATTAACAATTTTTCTCTCTTAAAAGGCACCGAAAGTCAAATTTTCATTTTGTCATAAAAAATAGTGTACATATTTCGTGGTGAAAGGCGGCGATTTCTAAATAGTGTGTTCTACATTCGCCTCGCTCGTGCAGCAAAGCTCACACTCAGAAATCGCCGCCTTTCCCCATATGCAATGCTATATGCAATGCACTATCCCATTAAGAATATGACAAAACAGCGTGGTTAATGGGTGCATTCCAATTTTTTTATCTCGTAGAAATTTGATATTTCCATTAAATAGAAATCTATCCCTTTTTCTCTTTACTTATAGAATGATTAACTATTGTTGATTTGCATGAATTATTTATTTATCGTTATTAAAATGTATTTTTAAATAAAAATATTAATGTTCTTATTAATTTTATTTTAAATTTCTGTATTATTTTTGTATCCTTAAATGTAATGGCAATAACAATAGGGATTTTATGTAAGGACGCAGCAATGTTTTGTTTAGGTATAGGATATATACATATATATAAGGAAAGGAAATTACTTATTCTATCCAATTATGTAAAAATATATAGGGTGTTCCATTGAAAAAAAACTAGATTAAAATCGCTATTTTCAACGGAGCATACAAAACACCCTGTATAATGTTTTATAAAAAAAAAAGATTTAACTTAAAAAATAATAAGTTTTAGTTGGTTATTTTTAACTTTTAGCGAATGTCTACATTTAGAGAAATATTGATAAATTTAAATTTTACTCAAAAAGTATTAACATTTTCCTAATTAATATAGTTACAAAGTATACCTAAAATAGTGTGTAGAATCTAAAAATGCAAAAAATACAGGGTGTTCAATTGAAAATAAGAAAGTTGGTATCGTCCCACGGCAAACCGTACACCCTGTATAAATAAAAATATAATATTTTAAAAATATTTTTTACTTCGTGAATATTTCTCCCTTACACATTGTTTGTGACTCCAGTAGTTTCTGAGATAAGTATACTTTACGTGGACCACCCTGTACACTGTACAGTGTACAGTAGGCTGGGCAGAAAAAGGCAAAACATTTTTTTGGAAATCTCTCTTGGCTTAGTTAAAAAAAGTTGTAAGAAGGGTACACAAATAAGCTGTTTTTTTCAAATTTTTAAAAACAAATTTAGCCGCGCCCCCGGGGGCCCCCAGTGGGTTGAAATTCCTCAAAATTCAATAAAAAATATTTTTTAACTTAAATTTTGAATTTGGCATATAAAAAAACTATTAGGTATTAACTTACTTAAGACACACAAAAAAAATATTTATATAGGTATTTTAATTTTACGCCGCGCACCACGGCTTTTTTTTTAATCGAAGAGCTGCATATTAGAAGTTTAAAAGCTTTGGGGAGGGGCTTAAAATTAAAATATATTAACAAGATTTTTTTTGTGTTACAAGTGAGTTAATACCTTTTTTTTCAATATATGCCAAATTCAAAATGTAAGTTAAAAAAATTGTCTTAATTTTAAAAACATTCAATCCCCCGGGGGCGCGGCAAAAATTAGAAATTCGGTAGGCTGGGCTGAAATAATTATTTTTGGAAATCTCACTTTAATTAATAGTTAAAAAAAAGTTGTGAGAAGGGTATTTGTATAAGCTGTTTTTTTTTAAATTTTAAAAAATAATTTTTGCCGCGCCCCCGTGGGATTGAATGTTTTTAAAATTAAGACAATTTTTTTTAACTAACATTGTGTGGTATTATTTGATTTTAAGATATACATGTATTTAATTATGCCTGAACATAGAGATGATGGACGGGTGACATTCCATACACTGTTTAAAATATCTGTGGTGTAAAAAGTAATCTTAAAATGGTGTCAAAATCCAACACCAAGTGGTGTTAATATAACACCATAAATTATGGTTGAAAATGTGTACCGATCGCGGCAAAGGCGGTGTGGATCATGTGATCTCGCCTCGGTTGACTTACATGAAGAATATATAAACTCAGGTAGTTGTTCGATACTAAAGAGACCTTAAATAGGTGGAAACAGCTGTCAATACTTGAAGTATTTTAAGTTAGTGGAACGCACTAAAAACATTATCTCTAGCGAGTTGAAGGTTCCATTTTCTGGAATAATACCACTGGTAATATACTAGTAATGAGTCAAGGAACTTCCTGTTTCCTTTTTTTTTCCTTTTTTCTGTGTAGTATGATTTAATTTGACCATAAACACATAATATTTAATACTGAAAAGGAGTTCAATTTACACCAGGTAAAATTTTTTTTTAATACTGTGTGAAAGTTAAATTAACACCATTTTGGTTTGTATCGATATAGACCACGTATGGTGTTAATTTGGTGTTAAAATGGTCATGAAATTTTAAACAGTGTAGACCGCTCAACATTCGAGTTTCGAAACTACTTATTTAACATGCTACTGCATTGTTTAATGATATTATTATGTTTAATTTTGTTTAGTAATGTTATTATTATAATATGATATAATATTATTATTATTAGGTACAATAATTAAAATTATAATAATTATTATTATAAGACATTTAAATTTGTATTGTGTTTTTGTTATTTTGTGTACAAACTGTAATAAATCTACTAAAGATACTAAAGAAAAAATGTCAAAATTTACTAAAAACTAATTTTTTTAATCCGCCCATAAATAACTTACATAAAAAGTTTTACTTCAAAACAAAAGCTCAATTGAAAAATATTTATTAGGAAGCCTAATTTAGATTGTCAAGTTTTAGTAGAAACACCCTGTATTTATAACATTGATGTTTTACTTTTTTTAAATTTTTTTGAATTACCTGTTAATAACATAAAACACATTGTAGTAATTTACATTGATATTAACCTTTTTTTTAAGTATCTAAAAACATGAAATTTTTTTATTATTTTTAAAATAGTAAAATTAACAGAATAACGATGATCATTTTTTTACGATTATAAGCGTAAAAAAATGATAATCGTTTTTCTGCCTTTAAATCTGCATCTGCATATATAATTTAAAAAATACATTGTCACAATTAGGACAATTATGGACAAAACAATTTTATCTTACAATCAGTTTTAATAAATCGACCGTCATAATTGTAAATTTCATAAAACTCGACGCGCGCCCCAAGATTATAATATGATTACATTTAAACGAAAGAACAACTGTCTCTAGCCTGACGTCACAAGGTGCGAGAGAGACAGCGCTACCATTCACAACAGTATCGTGAGTTTAATTCAAATATTAAAATCATAGGCGAAACGTTGCCAAATTGTGCGACGCAACAACATACAGTATTTAAAAACACGTATATTGGAAAACGTATATTATCGCAACGCCCTCATCGTCAAATGGGTTGAACTAAATATACACATTTTTTCCATTTTTAGTATGTTGCTGCACACTTTTTGTGTTCAAATTTTTCTAAATATTTTAAAAACGCAGGGTCGGACATAACAAATTTTTGGACACAAAAATTGGGCATTAAATTCTACACAGATCTGTATTATCATATTAGCAAGAATCTTAGAAAGTGCTGGGATGAAGTAAATTTTAAGAAATAAGCGCTTGACATTAGTGCGTCAGATATACTGACGCAGTAAGGTCGTTGGCGCAATAAGAATAGGGATTTTATAAATGTATGGACGCAGGCTGCGTTACGCAGCAATGATAGAATATATATATATATATATAATCTGCTTTAGGTTTCCACGGGCGTTATGGTTTTCCGGGATCTGCTCCGTGTTGTCGGTTTTTGCTTCTTAAAAGAACCGTATGTCTGACTACGTTTCGGTACAATCTCATGCATATAATTTAAAAATATTTTTTATATAACTATAGATTTTTATTTCTGTTTAGTTAGCAAATATGAATGTAAATTTATATTATAAAAACAATAATAACTAAAAAATAGGTAACAAATATATTTATATTTATATTACATAGGTTTCATCTTATTAATAAATTATTAACTTAAAACCTAATAAGCAATTAAATTTAATTTGTGGTTAAACAACCAAACAATATTTGATTGCATTCATTAAAGCATATTAATACCATCACAATGTTATACCTTTTTAATTTAAGATTTTAATGCTGCCAATCGGCTTTGCATTTCTTCCAATTCTTCTGTGTCTTCTTCCTCTTCTTCAGGAGCTGGTACAGATTTTTCTTCTGTGGGTGGTAATGGAGCTTCACCAATTTTACCTGCATTAAAATTAAAACATTTAAGTTATGTATACCTAAAATTTTATACACAGGATCCTTTACCTTCAGTAATTTCCCAAAGAACTTTATCAACTTCAGTTTGTGCTGCTTCTTCAACTTCTTCACTGTCTTCCAAAACATCCATAGACTCATCCAACATTTCCTCAATAATTCCAGCTTTCATCATTTCCTTGGACATATCTTGCATTGTTTGTGCAATTTCTGGTATTCTGACAAGTTTTTGCATAGCTTGCATTACCTCTGTAGATTTGGATAAAGAACCAGCAACTCTTAAAGTAGCTTTAACACAAGTAAAAATTTAATTGTCTTGACAAATGTTTAATAAAAAGGTAATAAATTAATTCAAAATCTATATGGTTGATTCCACGTCAGATCAGGCAGGTTTTGACCCTCACCCTCTCTGATTTTGACGAAAATCGCGGCTTCAAATGGGCCCAAATGGACCTGACTGCAAACGTTTAAAAAAATAATAAAAATTGTGGATTTTATGGGGGGTATCATTTTTGGAACTTTTCAGATCAGAGGTATATTGTTTTGCTTATATCTTGGGTCATAATTGACCTGGAGAGTTGTTCGACGTCTTATTTTAAAGAAAAAAGACTATAATTTTTAATTATTATAAATTTTTTTAAATTTGTATAATTTTTCATTAAAATATATAGTTTTGAAAAATTCAATTTTAAATATTTCAAAAACACCCCTTTTTATTTTTTTTATTTTTTTATATGTGAAGAAGCAAACATTTTTCTATACTTACCTAAATTTTGGTGGGGGTTATTTTTTTTAAGGGAGATATGATTTTTTTAATATTCGGTGTCTTTATACCCAGCGCTTACCTGGTTCTTATTTAGTGGGCCTGGGTTTGATTCTCGGTACTAAAATATTTTTGAGTGTAGAAAAAGGTTTGCTTCTTCACATATAAAAAATAAAAAGGGGTGTTTTTGTTATATTTCAAATTGAATTTTTCAAAACTATATTTTTATGAAAAATTATTCAAATTTAAAAAAAGGTATAATAATTAAAAAGTAAAATCTTTTTTCTTTAAAATAAGACGTCAACCAACCCTCTAGGTCAATTAGGACCCAAGATATAAGCAAAACAATATACCTCTGATCTGAAAAGTTCCAAAAATGATACCCCCCATAAAATCCACAATTTTTATTATTTTTTCATACAGCGATTTTCGTCAAAATCAGAGGGGGTGAGGGTCAAAACCTGCCTGATCTGACGTGGAAACACCCATATGTTAAATTTTATAACGTTTTGATATTTTTAAATATCCTGTTTTTCCCCTATAAGACAAACTAAGAACGTTTATTTATTTAATTCATTGTTTTTCTAAAAACAATGTTCAATTTTACTTAAAGACATACTTCTCTAAATACAAATAGTTTAGGGAGCGTTTGAGTATTACGTTACGCCGCGCCGTGTTAAAAGGGGAGTGGGGGTCAAAATTCCGAAAAACTGCGTTGCGTAATACTTTAATGCTCCTTGAGAGAAATACAAATTTGAAATTGGACAGATGCTCGTAATTTGTTGTTAGCAGTGCTAACTTATTATTAGCACATAACATAAATACATACGTAAAATGACGCTTCTCTTATGACCATTGAATAGAAAACCGTGGAGTTCATTAGAATATTTTGTTTAAAATGTTTTATAACAATTTGTTTAAAACTGGTAAAAACATTCAATATACAAAAATTACGTCTGAGAACACGTATCAAATTAGTTCATCATCATTAAATATTTATAGTTAAAACATGATTTAACAAAATATCGCACATAATTCAAAAAATTACATTATGGCCAGTGCATGATAATATAATCAAAAACATAATAGACGAAATGAATCTCCGTTATAATCACATTGTTATGTCAGATTATGCGGAACAATACTCCTAGAATCAAATTTTTCCAACAAATTTCCCGAAAAGGTATCTGGCAAGCTTTGAAAATTGTACATTTTGGATGAAGACTCCCATCATTGGAGGAATTTCCTTTCTTTATGCAGATTTAATATTTTTTCTTTCTATGTTTAGTTTGCAGTTCTACGAAATCATACATAAATATTAAAATTATGCTTGTGGTTATTTTTTTCTCGATTTAGAGTGCGCTATGGTCAAAAATATAATTTGGAAAGATGTAAAGGACAGAGTATTTGTGGAGCAAACATGCAAAAACCGATAAATCCAAGTTATGCAATTTTGAAATATTAGCAAAAAACTTGTACAGCGTAATCCAAGAAAATTTTTAAAAGACTGGTGAAAACTATTCGGTTTTTGCATGAAATCAGGAATTTATCGGTTTTTGCCTGAATGAAGTCAAGCAGCGGAATATGCTACCGGACCAGTCACTTGCCTTTTTTTTTAAATAATGTTGGATTAAAAACAAATCAAATATCACAAAAAAACATTTTAGAAAAAAATCTTAATGCTGATGACTAAACATCTTAAAAAAAAATTAACATGGCCTCTTCAAGGCAGTCAAATTGAAGTGAAGCAATACGCGATACCTCTGCAACTCCTCCCAACCCTTGTCAAACTGTCGATTTCGTAGATGCTGAAGAGACTTTTTTTTCTGGATTGCCTCGTGTTAATTTTTTTCTGTTATGCTTAAATCAGTATAAGAACATTTTGGTTTTAAGTTTTTCAAATTTTTCTAATCCAGTACCTACTAAAGCAAAAGTTTTAGAATGTGTATATTTTTATTATTAATATTAATTATAAATTTTTTTTAATCCCAACTGAAGTTATTTTAAATTAAAAAGTTTCCAATCAATTTATATTCTTTTAACCACTCCTACTTTACGTAAATTATTATAATATGCGAGTTTTTGTTTTGTCCGCTACAACCGTCGCAAAAAAAGGCGAAGTGTCGTAATATTTTCATAATTTAAGGAATCCATATAGCTTTAAAGTGCAGACCCTATCTCGATTGATCCTCTAGCGGCCTGATCTTCATTTCATGTAAAAAAGGTTGGATGTTTTTACTGATTATCGACACAACAAAAAATGTACATGCTGACCTACTGTGCATAAAACGCATCGTTAATAGGTATTTTGGGTAAGGGCTGAACCTGCTGCAGGTCAAAGCAAAAAGTAATTGAGTTTTCGGGACTTTATTTTAACAGACTATAAAAAGCATTAGCTCTCTTTTTGTGAACTGAGAACTAGGTTCGCAACTATCTCTTCGTTTCCACATCAACTTCCCTCTTGATCTTGTAATAAAGTTTAGTACATTTTGCACACACATCTGATGCTGGACTTGAAAACCCAATGTTAAACTCAATTTCAAATATTCTCCTGAACATATTCAGCATCGATTTGACTAAGGTACATGTTATGTAATATTTTTATGGTTAAATCGGCGGCCAAATAAATTTGTTTTGATTTAATTCTATTATAATGACTTTTTCTTCCTCTTAATTTATCAATAAACTCTCTTACTTTATTTTTTTCTCAATAGATTTAGCAGACACGTGATCACCGCCGCTGTTTTCTTTTGGAATATTCCCTTCTGACAATGTTTTAGCAATGTTAGTAGTCAGCGGGCAAACTAAATGGTTTTATGTCGGATGTCATTAATGTCACCAGTGGAGTTCCGCAAGGTTCGCACTTGGGACCTATTTTATTTTCAATTTTTGTTAATGACATTGGTAATAGCTTTAAATCCCCATTTCTTTGGTTTGCGGACGATTTGAAGCTGTATCGTTGTATCGAGGCTGACAGGGATGTGGAAGCCTTGCAGAGTGATCTGAATGTACTTAATGAATGGTGCCAGAAGAACCAATTGTTTTTGAATAATGACAAATGCTCTGTTATAGTCTTTTCCAGAAGTAAAGTTAAACACTTAAATTCCTACTATCTTAATAATTTCAAGTTAAAATCTCTAGAGATGGTTAACGACCTTGGTGTTATTTTGGACAGCAAACTGCAATTTCACAACCATTTTGACAAAATGGTTGCGGAAGCAAACAGGATGTTGGGTTTCTTACTGCGCACGACTGTCGATTTAAGGGAATGCAGATCACTGTTGGCTCTATTTACATCCCTGGTACGCTCTTAACTGGAATATGCTTCTACGATTTGGTCTCCAGTTTATAATGTTCACATTAATAGGTTGGAGGCCATTCAAAATAAGTTTATCCGTTATATCCCTTGCGAAAAAAATGCCTAAATTTTGGGCATTAATGCCTAACTTAGGCATACATGGCAAAAATTAGGAATTAATGCTGAAAAGTTAAGCATATATGCCTAACTTGGGCATTTATGCCCAACAGTTAAGCATAAATGCCTAACAGTTAGGATTGAATGCCTAACTTGGGAATTTATGCCCAACAGTTCAGCATAAATGCCTGAGATTTAAGATTGAATGCCTAACTTGGGCATTTATGCCCAACAGTTCAGCATAAATGCCTAAGAGTTAGGATTGAATGCCTAACTTGGTTATTAATGCCCAATAATTTAGCATAAATGCCAAAGAGTTAGGATTAATTGCTCAAAAATTTGGTATGTGAATTCAATGATTCAATGTGTTGAGATTAAATACCTATTTTGGGCATACCGTACCTTCATTTGCAAGCTAACCATAGGGAAAATACATTGTAACTGGACCAGATAAGTCTTAGTCAGCACAAAACGTTGTAGAAATAATTTGGACGCGTGGACGAGTAGGCTAGCATGCGCCGTAACAGTTGACCTTGCTTCATACATCGATGCTTTATTATTGTTTTTTATTTTGTGCGGTGTAAATCTGGTAAAATTTGTTTTAGTACGCATGTCTCGACGACGCATCCAAATCATTTCTAAAAAGGTTCTCGCTTTGTGTTGACTGCGACTTATCTGGTCCAGTTACAATGTATTTTCCCTATGGTTAGCTTGCAAATGAAGGTACGGTATATATGACTGGTAGATGCTACTTTTTTGTCTAATATGTAATAAGTAAAAGAACATATTCAAAGACCAAGCTCATCCTCCTTCGGACATCAAATACAACTACCACTCCTTCCGCCCAGCATCGAAGGCAAGAATCATACATAACCTAGATCTCAACAAATACAGCCTTAAACTAGACCTATTTGAAGATTTGGAAATATCCAACTCATTCAAAAATAAACCTGAACAATGCTTGAACTCACAAATTAATTTAAATTTAAACCATTATTTAAACATTTCCTATAAGCATTTCATGATTGATGATGAAAAAAAAACATTTATTGATTCCGTCCTCCCCCCACCATTGCTTATTTTTTAAATAACCTTTTTGAGTTGTAACTA